CCACAGATGCCCCACAGCCCCCACCCCCCCGTGCCAAGAGAGAGGAGTCAGAGCACAGAACAGCGACTCCAATGAGGGGGAAGACACCCGAGCATGGGAGACCTGGGGGGTGCCTAGGGAGGTAGAGACCCAGTGAGAGAGACTGGGGAGGTGGGTGAGACCCTGAAGGGGCCCCCAGATGGTGCCACCCTTGCTTGGTCTGCCGGGATCCACCTCGCCAAGCCTGTCCACCTCTGTGGCCACTCCCCAGGGACCAGAACAAGTACAAGGAGGCCACAGACCTTCTCCACGACGCCCTGCAAATCCGGGAGCAGACCCTGGGCCCTGAGCACCCCGCGGTGAGTGGGGGGCATGGTGAGGGGGGAAGGGCTTTGGGTCAGTACCTTCCCATCTCTGACCTGTGACCTTCCCCCGCAGGTGGCTGCCACCCTCAACAACTTGGCGGTCCTCTACGGGAAGCGCGGGCGCTACCGGGAGGCAGAGCCTCTGTGCCAGCGTGCCCTGGAGATCCGGGAGAAGGTGCCGCCCCTGCCCAGCCCTCGCCAAGCCCTATGTCCCGGGGGCTGACCCCTGAGGCCATGTGATCCTCCCCATTTGATTCTGTAATGTTATTTATTCTCTGGCCCTCACACTGGGAGCCAGATCCTTTGGTGTCCCTATTTATTCCCATGACCTCTGACCTTTTGCACCCCTCACATTTGATAGTGTGAGCCCCCAATTTGAGCTTACATCACCCAGATTCCATGACATACCACCCTTGATGTGTGAACTCCCAGTTTGATCCTCTGACTCCTGGCCCTGTAACCCCTTTAGAACTCACCTCATGCCCCCCACCTGGCTCTGACCTTCCAACTCCTGTGACTGATATAACCCCCAACCTTGATCTACCCCAGTTTGACCCTGTGCCCCATGTCTCTGAACCAGCATGACCTCTGACCTCAGCAGTCCCCCAATTTGATCCTATCATCCTTGGGACCCCCATTATGACTTCTGACATCCTGTGGGCCACCCATCTCCTCTGATCCCCATGACCTGTGATCCTGACCCCCAGGTCCTGGGCGCCGACCACCCAGACGTGGCCAAGCAGCTCAACAACCTGGCGCTGCTTTGCCAGAACCAGGGCAAGTTTGAGGAGGTGGAGCAGCACTACGCCCGGGCCCTGAACATCTATGAGGCCCTGGGTGGGCCCCACGACCTCAACGTGGCCAAGACCAAGAACAACCTGGTGAGGGCCCACCCACCCATCCAACACCCCCCCAGTGTCTCCACCCGCTCACCCTTGCCAGAAACATCCCCTAGGGCCTGTGTGTGGCAGACTTGGACTGGGGGCTAGGACGGGCCTGACCCGAGCGGGTGGGGGATGAGAACTGTGAGGGTGGGATACTGCAGAGGCCAGAAGCCCCCGTGTCTGCTGGGCTCTCGGAGAAGGTGTCCCATAAGATGAGGCTTCGGAGCTGGGCCCAACCGGTGAGGGGTCCGCTCAGCACAGAACAGCTTGTAGAATGTTCTACATGGAAGCGTGAGAAAACACGTAAGTTCTGGGCCACCAGAGAGAGGTTCCAGTGAAAGAGGAAGCTTGAGACATTGGCCGAGACCAGCTGATAGCATCAAATATTTATTGAGCTCGCACCACGCGCTAGGTCCCTTTTTAGCATGTCCCCTGGAGCATCCCATGTATTTCTTACAACCCATCCTATGAGGTAGGAGCTACTGTCACCCCCATTTTGCAGAGGAGGAGACTGAGGCACAGAGAGGTTGAGCCAGTGGCTTAAGGTAGAGCAGGATACAGGCTCAGAGACGGGAAGTTACCTGGCCCAGGTCACCTAGCAAGAAAGTGGTAGGGCCAGGATTCAAACCTACTCAGCCAAAGGGGTGTGAGGGGAGCCTGGGCTGCCTCCCAAGGGCACTGGGGAGCCAGGGCAGGGTGTTGAGCAGGGGAAGGACACAGTCAGGTCTGTATTTGGGAAAGATGTGCCTGGATTCCACGTGGGGGGCTGGAGGGTGTCTTGGAAATTTCTAGATTTGAGCCCAGATCACCCTCCCCCTGCCCTCCCTCCAGGCCTCAGCCTACCTGAAACAGAATAAGTACCAACAAGCAGAAGAACTGTACAAAGAAATCCTCAGCCGGGAGGACCTGCCTGCCCCTCTCGGTGAGCCCCCTGCCCCTCCCCACTCCCAGGAAGCTTCTCAAGCCCCCTCCCCACCTTCATGTCCCCTATCTGTTCCCCAGGAGCCCCCAACACATGCAGAGCTGGAGATGTGGACCAACAGGTGAGGCCGGGCTTTGCTTTGACTCTGTGGTGGAGATGGGATTGGATGGGGGACTGACTGGTATCCCGGCACCCCCCAGGCCCTTCGTCGGAGCAGCTCATTCTCCAAACTCCGGGAGTCCATCCGGCAGGGAAGCAAGAAGCTGGTCTCCCGGCTCCGAGGCGAGGGGATGGCAGGAGCAGCCGGGTGAGTGTTGGATCTGGTCAGCAAAGAGCCCTGACGTCTGCAGAAGCTGCTGCAGCCCCTCCCCCAGCTCAAGAACCTTCCATGGCTCCCATCTCCCACTGTGGCACATATAGATCAAAGCTGGTGTGGAACAGTCTTGGAATTTACTCCTTGCCCACCTGCCCCCTCTCTGCAGGATGAAGAGAGCCATGTCACTCAACATGCTGAATGTGGATGGCCCGAGGGCTGCAGGGACTCAGGTGCGGGTGACAGGGACACCTGGGTCAGGATGGAGGGGGTGGTGGCCATGCTGGTGGGCTGAGATGAGGGAAGGGTTGGGGCAGCCAGGCTAACCTTGGAGCTCAGGGGTGGGAGGCTGATGGTGGAATGGCCAAAGACTGGAGAATGGACAGGTTATACGTAGGGTAGAGGCAGGGGGATGGACAGGTTGGAGTGAGGCTACGTATGGGGACAGGGGAATGAGCAATATGGCCATGTGCTGGCAGTGGGGTGGCCTAGAGGACAGGAGAGTGGATGTGACAGCAGGGGCGTAACCATGGGAACAGAATGGACACAGGGTGGACACAGGGACAGGGGTGAACATGGGGGCAAGGTGTGGCCATGGACGTAGAGGCACAGCCATAGTGGCAGTGGTACAGAAGTGTGTCCTGCCCTCACCCCTCAACCAGCCCTGTGCCCTGTCCCCAGTCCTCCAACCGGCACCTGGGTGAGGCCCCGTGGACCCTCAGTGCCAGCAGCCAGGACCTGAGCCCCCGCTAAGACGATGGGACCACGTTGGCCGCAGTGTCTCAGGAAAAGTGGGGAGGGGGTGGCGGGGAGACCCCCTCCTCATCTCCTCGCTTACTCCTGCCTCTCGGGGCACCCGGGGCATTGGGCTTGCCCACCACCCTCCTCTCCTGCATTAAAAGCTGTCAATTTGTCAACGAAGAACATGCATCTGAAGTTTCCTGCAGGGTCATTTAAGCTCCTCCCCTGAGGTGCCCTGCCAGCCGCTGGGACCCGAGGAAACTCAAGAGGTCACACAGCCCTCCGGCCCCGCACGCTCACAGCTGCTGCGCGATCTGCTCGATCCTGCGCAGCGTCTCCTCCGACTGCAGCTGCTCCAGGCTGAGCAGGGACAGGCCCAGCTGATCCTCCTGGATGGGACAGAACCTGGGGTGTCAGCCTGGGGGGTGGGGTACAGCTGCTGCCCTCTCCCTAACTGCCCTAACAGGGACACGGGCGGTCCAAGACTCGAGGCCCAGCAGTTACAGGAGGTGGCTTGCATGGGGGGCATGGGGCAGAATGTCTGCAACAGGAACCATCCCGTGGAACCCAGTCTATGTCCCTGTAAACAGAAGGCAGCCCCTGGGGAGGGGGCCAGCATCCAGAGGACGGGCATCCAAGCTACAGAGAAGGATCCACTTCTGGGGGCCAGCACAGCACCCCTCCTGCAGAAGGTACACCAACTCCTCATCGCAAATCCTCTCCTCCTGCCTCTTCTTTGGGGCTCCCCACACACCTGCACGCCTACTGCAGCACTCATGTGTCTTTGGCCCTCAAATCTCCCCCTGGTTCTCAGGCCTTACACACAGGTGCACACAGCCTGTCTTTGTGGGAGGCAGGAGGGCAGGCTGTAGGGCTGTGGGGAGAAATTCAAGGGGGCTGCCTGGAGGAGGGAGCAAGTGTGGGGCTGCCTCAGCTCACCCGGTGGAATGGCTGCGCCATCTGCCTCAGGAAGTACTTGGCCACCTGGACGCCCTCATCCACGGTCAGGTTGAGGTTGGCGTCTGTGAGGTGCTCCTGGATCCAGCGGGGCAGCTTCCCCCGCTTGTCCGCCCGGGCAAAGCGCTGTGCACAGGAGGGCGGAGATAGGGGGCGTCAGGGGCAGCCTAGGCCCGCCTCGGCCCCCGTCCCACCTGCCCCATCTGTAAAGCGACTGGGGGAACAGCCTAGTGCTCAGGAGCTGGGTGGGGCGGAGCACCTTGTCGGCAAAGATCATGAGGCCGTAGTCGGTCTTGCCCCTGATGGCCCGGCCCACACACTGGGCCGCGTGCCGCATGGCATCGAAGGTCAGGAAGTCGTTCTCTCGGATCTGGAACTGGTCCCGCAGGTACTCTAGCCGCGCCTGCCGGCGGGGAAGCAGGAGATGGGGATGCCATCTCTCCTCTCCCCATTGCTGCCCCTTCCGCAACTGTACCAGTCCCAAGAGGAGAGCCCTGAGAGAGAACCCTGGGCCCCGGGCGCTGCTCACCTTGAGGATGCGGCTCTGGGTATAGACGTAGGGGACCCCGAACATGATGACGGCCCGCCCATAGTGGTGCACTAGTGGTTAAGGGGAGAGCGAGGGAGGGTTACAAGCGTAGATGGCTGGAGGGGCGACGTCGTGGGCCCCCGGAGCTGATGAGGGGCAGCCAAGTGTGAGAAGACAGTGGGGGTGCCCTAAGGGCCCCCAAGTTCCCGGGGGGGGGGCAGAGGAGGGCCCTGCTCATGCCCAGGTCATAGGTGGGTGGCTCCCTGGGGGAGCAGAGACGGCACAGCCGCAGGAGTTCCAGAAAGCTCCATGCAGGTGGCCGGGGTGGGGAGAGTCTGGCTCACTCACCGAAGTCGATCCCCTCAGACACTTTGCCCCGGGCCACCGAGAGCAGGATGGCCCCACGGCCGTTCTCGCAGGCCTGGGGAGGGGACATGTGTCACTCCTCAGAGCTGCCTCCTTCGGCCTCGCCCCGCACCAGTCTTCTGGCATCCCTCCCCTCCCCTACCCGTGCCCACCTCCTGGTACTTCTCCAGGGCAACACTGGTCTCTGCCCCATCTTGGGTCTCAATAAAGAGCAGCTTGTTCCTCTGGATGTTCTCTAGGATGCCCTGGGAAAGATTCGGGAGGAAAGGGTTTGGGGTTGGCACAAGGCAGCTTGATGGCATGGCCTTCCTGGTTAAACCCAATTCTGCCACAAACTCCCTAGCAACAGGCCATTTTCTGTCTGGGCTTCAACTTGCCCATGTGAGCCATGGGGAGGGAGTAGTGGACCTGTCCAACCTCACTTTTTTGGGGAAGCTTTATGATCCAGATGGGGAACCAATCACCGTGCCCCATCTTCTGGGCAAATGGGGTAGGCATGTCGCCCAAGACGGCCAATCAGGGCATTCCATCTCCCAGCCAGCAATTGGTAAAGAGCCTGACTGTAAGCCAGGCAGAGCCAATCAGAGGCTGCCCTGAGATTTCATATGTGACACTGCAGGGCCTACTACAATGCTGCAGTAATCAAGACAGTGTGGTACTAATGCAAGGAAAGACACACAGACGGTGAAGCAGAACAGAGGGTCCAGAAACATGCACACGTGCGCGGATGGTCACTGTGCAGTGCAGTAGGGAAAGCTCAGTAAATGGTGCTGGAGCAACTGGATGTCCACGTGGGAAAAATGAATCACGATCCCTCCCTCACACCATACCCAAAGATGAATTTGAGGTACCTGAGAAACCTAAACGGGAAAGCTAAAACTACAAAGCTTTTAAACCAAAATGCAGGAGACTGTCTTCAGGACCGTGAGGTAGGTGAAGATTTCTTAAAGAGGATACAAAAGGCACTCAGGAGATGGGGCTCACGGGGCTGGCGGCCGTATTTCCCACTGTGTGGAAACAGCCTGAGGACAAGGCCAATGTCTAGGTCATGGGAGGATGAAGTTCCAGCCCCTGCCCCCCGCATTACCTCATGCTCTCACCTCACCCCAAGTGTTTGCTTTGACCTACCCGAGAGCTGGGGCCGTGGTAAGCTCAGAAGCAGAGAGGACAGAGCAGCCAGTCCCTGCCCACATCCTCCTGGTGGTCCAGTGCTAGCTGTGGTGAGCCATTTCTAGAACGTCCCCTGACCCTGCCCAGAAGGGGCTCTCGCAGACTCTCCAGAGTCTCTATCCAGCCTGACTTCTCTGGAATCTTCCTCAAACAGCACAGCACCCAGCTAGTCTGCTACCCAGTTTCTCCACACCCAACCGTATCTGCTAGAGGGGTAGTTACAGGGGTAACCCCATAAAAAGATGAGAGGGGACAAGGAATCCAGAAAGTGGGGGTGTGGTCGCCTCTCCTGAGGGGTATGCCTTGGAGGGAGGGGCCCACAGAGGCTGCCAATGTCTTCTGAGCCTGACTGGGGGCACGGGCCACAGTGTAGCCACTTATTCCTTAAACTGTTTGTGTCTTATACGCTGTTCTGTCCTGTGAGACACCCCTATTTACAACAGAAAAGGAATGAAATGATGCCACCACACAGAGGAGCAGAGCCCAGAGCTGAGGAGATGGGGGCTTCTGGGGAGTGGGTGGTGGGGTGGGGGGACGCACCTGCTCGTACCAGGAGGCCACGGTGCTCTCCATGTACTGGTAGCTGGTGAAGAAGGCCACAATGCCATCCGGGACCACGGCGGACATCTCCAGCAGGAGGTTTCCGTAGTTCCGGATCACCGCTGTGAGGGGTCAGAGGTTGGACCCTGTCCTGGCCCCAACTCCTGGTTGGAGCACTCCAGTCTAATGCCCTGTCTGGAACTCGGGGCTCCCAAAACCCCTGCTGAGTCCACCTGTAAGGCTGTTCACAAGTATCTCCTTCCAGGCACGTGGGAGGGCCCTCCCCGCCACCTGCAGTGCTGTGTGACTTGCCACGGCCAACGGAACAAGCGCAGAAGTGGCCACATGTTACTTCCGGGTGGGTGTCTTTATGAGCCATGCACCTTGACCATGTCACCACGACCCCACCCATCACGTCACACTGCCTCAGTGTTATGGATTGAAATACGTCCCCCAAACATATGTGTTGTAAATTCCAACCTCTACGCCTGTAGTTATAATCCCATTTGGGAATGGGTTTTCTTTGTTATGCTGATAAGGCAGAATTAGTGTAGGCTGCGTCTTGAGTTAATCTCTTCTGAGATATGAAAGAGATTAAATAAGCAAAGGAGTAGTGGAGATGGGGGAAGATAGATGACAAGCTACACGGAGATCACCAATGAACCAGGAAACAGAAGCTGAAGAGACAAAGACCTTCCCCCAGAGCCGACAGAGAGAGAAAGCCTTCCCCTAAAGCTGGCGCCCTGAATTTGGACTTCTAGCCTCCTAAACTGTGAGAAAATAAATTTCTGTTTGTTAAAGCCACCCACTTGTGGTATTTCTGTTATAGCAGCACTAGATCACTAAGACACTCGGTGACGTGCCCCATGGTGGGAGATCCCCAGGTGAGGAAAAGTGAGGCAGTCTGCTCACCAACCATGCTGGACGTGTACCACGGGCAAGAAACGAACCTCTGTGTGTTATGCCACTGAGACTGGGTGGTGTTTTTACTGCAGCCTGACCTGGCCCATACTGACTGATACTCTCCCCTCTGGGAACCCATATAAACCACCCCCACAGGCAGTGTACCGATATCTTCCCGGGTCTCAAATTTGGAGCTGATGGCCACCTGGTCATTGCCACGGCCGATGATCTGGAATGAGCAAAAGAGACAAATCGTAAGTAAGCAAAACAGCGGCACCTGAGCCAGCGCGTGAGAGCCAGTCACCTGCCTGTGCCATTCACGCTTTACGTGGATACAAGCGCACTGAAGGAGCCCTCAGCTACCCTGTTATCGGCAATGTCCAGAGGAATGAACAGAGAAGGTGAGTCGCCTGCCCGAGGTCACACAGCATAAACAGCAGAGATGGAATTGAACTCGGGTCTGTCCCTGCCCCCAACCAGCAGGCTACACTCTAGCCGACCCCAGGCTCCAGGCCAGTGGGTTCCAGAAGACTCCTTCTCACCACAACAGCCTCTGTGCACCACCACAGGCAACTGTCACAGGACCATGATGCAA